AGATACGGGGAGAGGTCTGGAGGATGCTGCGGAGGGGGGAAGGCTGGTGGGCAGGGGGTTTGAGGGGGCTGGGGATGCCTGGGAGGAGAGTGGGTGGGTGCTGCGGGTGGTGGAGGGGCTGAGAGTCCTGCTGTGGGCTGAGGCTGGAGGCATGTGGCGTGTCGGGGGCTGGCGGCAAAGCTGGGACGGAGGGTCTGAGGAGTGAGGAGGTGATAGGAACCACAGGGCATTTGAAAACGGGGTGGGGAGCACCAAAGAGGTGTTTGATCCCCAAGATGGAAGCAAATTATCTGCCCCTAGCACATGCTGTTTCTAAACTCACATGCTGCGGGTTTCTAAAGCTGAGGCGCTGCTTTCCCTTTGCCATCCGTGTTCGGCCGCTCTGTTTAGTTTCCTGATGCTCTGGTGGCCCTGAGCCACGCTTGGGCTATCATGCACCTCCTCGAGAGGCTTTGCAGGCAAAATGGGTGCAGATAAGAGGTGGTGGCACCAGCTGGAGTGTAAGCCAGGTTAAAGCAGGGATCACTTTAGAGATTTAGGGGTTCAGCACTGGATTGTTTCAATGCTAGGGAGCTTGGATCAATACTGAGGCCCTAAACCTGCCACCTTCCCATTCACACCTATGTGAAATCAGTGGTGGGGAGCTGGTCAGGCTGTCATTTGGAGTCATGCGTGGGGCAAAGCGGGTGTTGGTCAGACGCAGGATCCGGTTTTCTGTGCGGTTTTGGGCTGAAGAGGCTTATCTTTCTGGTTATGATGGTTCCTTAGTCTTTTCATTTAATCATATTTTTGGTTCAGTCTACATTTAAATGTCAAGCCAATGCTTATAGCATTAAGCATTGCCAGAGCTTCTGGAGAAATTCTTCTATTTCATCTCTTCTTGTTTGCTGGGGTTGGAACAGGAGCCTTTTGCTGTCAGCTTGAACACCTCTTACCTGTTTCCACCTTAGCAAGTGCTAGACACAGAACAATAGTAAGGAGGGGGCAATCTGATGTAGATTTTCTCCTAAAAACCAAGGATGTTCATGATGTGGTAATTTATCTTGGCTCTCTCCAATTTAGATTTGTGTACAAGAAGCTGGCATTTTCTTGAGTTATTTAAAACACTGCTATTTGTTTATCTGGGCTATTTTGTTTTTTGGCCTTCATCTGGGACTTGCTGTAAACCATGCTGAGTTTGCTTAGTGGATGAGATAATACTCAGTACTGCTAGCAAGCTGTCTCTGAACAATGTGCAAAGCAAGCTCTGACATACATGAAGCAAAAATCTCTGTGCTCATGAGAAAAAGAGCTTTCTCCTGTGTTGCACTTGGAATATGATAGTTTGCTTTTTGACCTAAGTCAGATCTTGTTTACATCTATCAAAACAGGTTGTAAATACATGTGCTGTGCTTAGCCTTATCTGAGTCTGAGTGTTTCTAGGATTCTTCATGTTTCCAAGTCTGATCTGAAGTTAGAAAAACAGTGAAATGTCCTGCTTTCGGGTTTAAAGATCACCTCTGAAGTTCAGCAAGGTTTCTGTGTAGCTTTATGCAACTGGGATGATGTGTATGGTGGGTTTTTTTTTTTTCCTCCTGGATTTTCTCTATAATCTCCTGCTCTGGCCACTGTTAAAACAACACTGGACTCACTCAGCTGGGAAGTATGATCCAGGTTGACAAATCCACATATAATGCAAACAAAGAACAGCAAGGCGATGTTCAATGCCTTTTGCATGGCACCATGCCAAATACTCTCATAGAGGAAAACATTTAAGTCATCTTTTAAGCTGGGCTCAAATCCGAAGGACTGTGTCAGCAGTAACATTGCAGCTGAACACGGGCTGTGTTTTCAATTATAAAACAAGACCCACAACAGCTTCTTCTTTTGTGACGCTGTGACTTTTTTGCTAGAAAGATTGCAATGTTGTGGCTCATGCGGCTTTCCCAACCCAGCCTCTGTTTTGGAAGGAGGGCAAACCTCTCCTGCAGGACGAGCGTGCTTCCAGAGCTCTCCCCAGGCGTAGTTTGCTCTCCAGCTTGGCAGGAGCAGAAAGGGAGAGAAATCAAACCAAACCCAGTAATACTGCCTGATTGGGATGAGGCGGTAACCACGCAGGCACAGGGCAGGCAGGAGCTCTGGGAAACCGGGCTAAGCAACAGGTTGTTTCTCATCTGGTTGCTTGGCAGTTGGACAAGACGGCAACTGCTCTGCATTGCCATGCTGTAGAGCACGTTGAAGGTGGTAGAAATTGTGGCATTACCCCTCAGGTGCTGCTGATGGGGATTTAACTGCTGAGGTATTAAATTGATCAAGGTGGATGGGGGGGAGAAAAAGAGTGGTAGTGGTGTTGGGGTTAGTTAAGGGATGAGGAAGGAAAGTGTTAAGAGACAGCAAGCTGGTTGCACTGCTGGGCAGTGCCTTGGAGTTCAAAGCTAAGCTTGTCCTTTTGTTGCTGAGCCAGCAAGACCTGTGAGGTTTAGAGGCAAGACAGGCAGTGTTTAGGGAACAGATGACTTGCTGCTTTGCTGGTAGCATTTAAGGCCATGGAAGTATGTACAAGAAAAGGGGAATTGGGCAAAAAAAAATAGAAAAAAGGAGGAAGGAGGTAGGAAAACCCTTTTTTGGGATGGTTTTAGGGTCATAGGTTCTTAGCACTGATGCAGACTTTCATCAAAACCAGTAAAACTGCCCACTCCTATGCTTGGTTTTCAGCCAGTACTTGAAAACTGTTTGAGTCATGTTTGTCACAGAGCTGGCAATTGTAAGAATAAAATGATGAATATCCACATATGTTTGGGCATCCCTATATTCTAAGGTATTAATAGTTTGGTTCTGCGGAGCAAGAAAAGTGCTGGTGAGACCATTCTCGTGGCTGTGCTAAGCACTTGCTGTCCCAGCAGCGTTTTTTCAGTCCTGTCCACAAAAGTGCAGCGTAGCACTGAAATAATAAGCTTGTGTGTGTGTCAGAGGTGGGATGTCAGGTCTTGGCAGGGAAAGATTTCAATTTCAAGCTTGAGAAAACTGAAAAGTAATGGCTTTTCTTTTTAAAAAAAAAAAACAAACAACCAAACCCAAACAAAACAACAAACTGCTTTGCATCTCCCGGGAACAAAAGAAGGGAAATAAATGACAGGGCCTCGGGGTGGGTATTGCAAGTAGGGTTAATTGTTCCTTCCATCAAGATGCAACACGGGAAAGTATCATTAAGGGGGGTTGACGGTTTCCTTTGTCTGAAACATGGACTTCTCGCTTCCAGTCGAGATATTAAATGTGCAGTGCTTTTTTTGGAAAATGAAATTGTGTACCCAGGGGGAAGACAGCTGCAGAACATGTCAAGATCTGCTGATTATAAGGAGTTAAAAACTGCCTTTTCTCCTCCGAGATTGAGAGTTTAAAAAGCTGGGCTGAGCACTACTGCTTTCCCAGCCCGTCCACCTCAGGCTGTCATGTTTTCACTAGCATTGTTCATCTGAGCCCTTTAAATCCCTGGGTTCACCAAGTAATGTCAGCAGCAGGTGCAGAACGAAGATTGTGAAACTTGTGCCTGTGGATGTAAAGCATTTGCTTCTTCCTTTACGTTACACGCTCACCAACCGTCCTTTCTCCGAGTTCCTGCCTTGCAAACTGGGTGTTGTCAGCTCTGAATGCTGTTTGACTGCTTGTTCTTTTTTTAATGATTATTCTCAGGTGTTTTAAGGAACTGGAACCATGACGGACTCCAAATACTTCACAACCAATAAAAAAGGTTAGTGTTAAGTTGGTGCAGTGGATTGGAGGTGGTGGGTGGCTATTTTTGCACAGCTTTTTTAACTGCGTGCAGAAGAACTTGTGCTTTCCTGTTAGCTCTGTCCCTGTTTCTTGTCTTAATCATCCAGGGAGAAACTTCTAAAGTAGGTCGCATGGTGACAAAAGACAAAACTGATGTATTATATGGTTTTGTGATGCACAAAATGATCCAAATCGC